AAAAAATAGAAGAGAAAATTGAATTTTTCTTTAATTATTAACTTTGTAACAATTCGCAATAATAATAACTTTAATATCAGGAGAGTTTTTATTTATTTGATGAGTGGATTTAAAATTTAAACCAGAAAAGAAAATTAAAACAATTAATTTTTTGCTTTTGTTACTTTAAAAATTATTTTGCTTTATTTTCACTTTATTTTTTATCACATATTGTTGCGTTTTTTCGAAAAATATAATAAAATTTTCCCACCAGTTAAGATTTCCCAAGGTTTTGCCTGATTTTCAAAATTATTCCCCAGATCCCAAGGGGGGTCGTGAATTCCCAAGATCTTGGGAAATCTCCCAAGGTGTGGTAGCCCTGCATTGACGGCCTGCAGTTTACTACTTAATAGAATTTAAATTAGCATGTTGATGAAATAATAGGCACATATAGCTGTCCATAAATGTCATGGTGATATTATTGCACAAGGGATGTACATAATAATATTTTTGGGCTATTTTTATGCATAATGATAGGGTTGGACTATTTCTATGCAATGTGATAAGATTTGTTTATTAGACTTATTTCTGTCCAAAAATGAAATGAACACGATATGTAATATTGTTATAAAGTCATGAAAATTGTATAATCCTACCCAGAATGACAATTTATAATAATATTATTGATTATATTGTGCCATTGAGAAGAATGTTAAAATTGTTCAACAGCTATGCAATTTGAAATTATAGTTATGTTGCATGTATCTTGTCTTATGCCATTTTGTCAGGACCAAATAACTATTAAAATTAAAGATTATACGTAAATAGGAAAAATTAAACTATACTATAGTTTAAAAAATAAATAATACACAACACATTGCATGACAATGACTGATTGAAAAAATAAGAAAAACTTACTTATCAATTATTGCACCGAGACCTTTTCTTAAACATTTATTTAGATCTAACGATCCCCATGTTTTGTCTTTTAAACAATGTCTGCTTACGGTGCCTGTGTAAAGGGTTTAAAAAAAAAAAGAAATTAATAACACATATTTTATGAGCGCCGGACGTATATCTCCCACATTATCTGTCCGGCGACCAAGCCACATGACCGCCGTAAGAATACTTTATCGAGATATTCGTCCGGCGACCAAGTCACATGACCGCCGTAAGAATACTTTATCGAGATATTCGTCCGGCGACCAAGTCACATGACCGCCGTAAGAATACTTTATCGAGATATTCGTCCGGTGACCAAGTCACATGACCGCCGTAAGAATACTTTATCGATATATTCGTCCGGCGACCAAGCCACATGACCGCCGTAAGAATACTTTATCGAGATATTCGTCCGGCGACCAAGTCACATGACCGCCGTAAGAATACTTTATCGAGATATTCGTCCGGCGACCAAGTCACATGACCGCCGTAAGAATACTTTATCGAGATATTCGTCCGGCGACCAAGTCACATGACCGCCGTAAGAATACTTTATCGAGATATTCGTCCGGCGACCAAGTCACATGACCGCCGTAAGAATACTTTATCGAGATATTCGTCCGGCGACCAAGTCACATGACCGCCGTAACAAAGTGGCTCGAGATATTTGTCCGTCACCCTTGTCACGAAACCGTGAATGATTCAAAACTAGTGTACATTTTAAAACCTATTTCTCTACCAAGTAATTTACTAAATATCTTGCAAACAAATATGCGTCCGTGGGAGGCATTTTTGCGCCCCGTACGATACATTGACATAAACTGAATTCACTCCGGTTGTGGCGCGCCTAAAGGTAATCATTTGACACAAGCATAGATTCAACCCAGTACCCTTATTTCGATTGGCGTGAGACCGTGAGAGAACAAAAAAATTGAGTGTGCCAAAAACTCTCAAGCAAATGTG